GGGAGGTCTGGGCCTCTTTGCTTAGGCTGCTGCCCCCGCGACCCGACCCCGGACAAAGCGGATGACGATGGATGGATGGACGGAACAAAGACTGAGACATTTGACATCAGTGAAGTGAAGTAAAGATGAAGCTATGATCCAAAAAATGACCCCAAAAACAGATGATAGCAGGTTTTAGAATGGATAAAGCAGGCTGCCATTAAGCTTCTGCCTTCCCAAAGACTCAACTTCAACCAACCAATTTAAACGAACTCTGTCAATTCTGCTAAGAGTAGTCAAATATCCAGCCAGAATGATCCCGGAAGCTTGTTGAGGGCTACCAAATCATCTGGTTCAGGTGGAACTTTCCACAGGATATTTAACCAAATATTAGAGGGGGTGCATCTATATGCTTGAGCATGTATATGTAGTTTTGACCCTGTGTGGATTAGAGACAATTCAAAATAAATTTAAACTTGTGCATGCAATTCAGTTTTTTTTTAAATTATTAAAAATGTATGCAGTAAAACCATTCCTCATGGGAAAAAAACACAGTTCAAAGAAATCACTAAATGCTCCAAATGACCACAACATTCATGCCTACAATGAGTGTATGTAAACTTTTAACCACAACTGTATTTCATACCCAATACTCAAGCTTTAAGGAGACATTCTGGCATTTAATTTTTATTCTCTTCTTCTTCACCAGATGTGTTTTTACTTCCAAGCAACAGCACTTCAGTTTCCCGGAGTTTCGAATTAAGAGGCGTAATATGATGCCAAGTTTCAGTTTCAAGTCCCAGAATTTTTAATTTAATTTTTGTTAAGCAGCACATAAACCTCCCCAAACAACAGTGTGGTGAAGAAAAACAAATCATGTGGGAAAAAAACAATCAAACAAACAAAAAAAAAAATGCCAGATGTCCCTTTAATCAGCTAACGGTTCCACGGCAAACTCTGGGTTAGAACAACGACCTAACTTGATGATTTTGGCTAAGCCTTGGTGGATCTTAACCTGTTACTGAACTGATTAAATCCAGTCCATCAGAAAGCTTATACTTTGCTTTGCTTGTACTCAAGTGTATTATTTTAGATTCATTACTGTCCAAGTAGGCCTAATGAATGGGAAAAACTGCGGACATACATGCCAGCACACACAATCAGTTATCGTAACTAAAGTGTAAAGCTGGCTCAACATCCCTACAAGTGGGCAAAATAAATCAAGGCAATGATATACATATTAACTGACTGCTGTTTTTAAAGCCTTACAAATACAGTGACTTAATATGTGAAGTCGTTCAGAGAGGGATGCTAGTCGAAAGTAATTAAGCCACTAAAATCAAAATAAATGCAAAGTTTGGTAATATATTTTAACTTGACATGGAGCAATTAAAGCACAACTTTCAAAACATATAAACCAAATTTCATGAATATACAGTCACCGGCCACTTTGACAGGTAAACCTGTTTATGAGCTCATTAATGCAGATATCTATCAGAGTGTTATTGCCAGACTGCTTTGAGCTGATAGGAAGGCAGCAGTACAGCATCTCTAAATGCAACAACACTGAACCTTGTGCTACAGCAGCAAAAGACTAAAGAAAGTGCCATTCCTGTTAGCTAAAAACAGGAAAATAAGGCGACATTTTACACAAGCTCAAGCTCATGATGAAAAATGATCTTTGAAAAATACTGCTGTGACAATCAGATAGTGGACTCGGAATTTGTCCTAAAAAAATGACAGGATGGATTCAACCTGCATCAATAGTACAGGTGGATAGTGATGCTTTGCACCAACTGATCATCGTTTTAACACTACGGCCAGCCTGAGTATTGCTGCTAACTATGTCCATAGTTAGCAGCAAGTGTGTCCACAGTGTGCCCACCTTCTGATGGCTGCACATTATTTGGGGTGGCTGTACCTCAGTTGAGCAGGTCATCTACTAATAGGAAGATTTGGTTGTTTGATCACTGGCTGCTCTAGTCTAGATCTCATACAAGTATTCTAAGGGCAAGATAATGAACCCCAATGTGCTCCTGATGCATCCATTGGAGTAATAATGTCTGTAAATCTTAAACAAAAAGCACTTTGGTGTAGAAAAAAAGTCTTTAATGAATGAGCCTGAACTGGTAAATGAAGAATGTTGCATGAAACACTGAGTACTCAAATACAGCTATAGAAGAATCAGTCCATCATGTCATGAAACTCATATAATCCCAAACTAATTTCTTGACAGTGAGTTCTATGCACACAAATGGCCTCCAAAGCCACCAGATCTCAGTCCAACCATCACAGCAGCAGACATCCAAGAAAGGGTCTCAGTCCAGTAGAGCACCTTTAGGATGTGATGAAAGGCAAGATTCACATCATGGATGTGCAGCCAAGAAATCTACAACAGCTGCGTGACGCCATCGTGTCAAAAGGCAGTTTGAAAACAAAACTGGGTCCAACCTGGTACTAGCAAAGTGTACCTATTAAAGTGGCAGCGAGCGTAGAGCACACATTTCCACATTTGCATTAAATTTAGCAAATAAGTATAAGCTTTCAGATGTTTGTATGTTTCTATACAGTGTCTAACCCAGATCTGTCATATTACCCCCCCCCAAAAAAACCAAAAAAAACCCCAGCATTCAGAGAAGCCTTGATAGGAAACGTTTGGCTCCATTGAACCAAACAGTCTATCTACAGCTGATTTTTATAGTAACAGCATGTAGCCTGCTTTTTGCTATTGCAAAATAAAGCACTGTGTGCATAGCAACAAGTGTTACTATAGCACCCTGACAGCTATGTTATTTTATATGCCATTATGAGATCACAGACACACACACACTCTCTCTCTCTTTCTCTCTCTCTCTCTGTCCCCTGGCAACATACCGCATGAGGCTGTCATAAAAACACGTCCTGCTCGCCACCAGAAACAAAAGACAGGGAAAGAAAGCAGGTAGTAAAAAGAAATAAACAGCTGAATTATTTATGTCTATATGGACATCTTTTTTGTTAATTATGTTAAAACAAGGCAGTTAAATATTTGTACTAATGCCTGGGCTATGGAAGAGGAAAGCAAATTATTCACAACACAATCAAGGAGTACATAAAGTAGGAAAGAAGCAGAAAAGCTGCTGTTGAGCCTGCACTCACCTCTTTGGAGGAAAGCACCACGCAGATCTTGGCAGCAGAATGGGGGTGAGTGGCTGCCCCGTGTGCCCATCCACAGTGCTTATAGATGGGCTCGGGAATCGACTGATGCCCTGGGTTGCCACCCCGGCCATGCCAGTGTTGTTGGCATTGTTGATGTTGGCGTTAGAGTCTGATGAGGAGTAAGAGGAAGGGGTGAAAGTAGTTGAATCCATGAGCTTCTCATGAGACGGGCTCTCGCCTTCACAAGGTGACCCTTTTTGGCTGATGTGCAAGGGACGCTGGGTAGTGAAAGACTGCGGGAAGGACCCACGGCCATCGCTCTGGTTGTAGTAGTTGACATGGTTGCCAAACAACCCTCCTGTGCGCTGTGGTGTGGGCGGAGACGGTTGAGATGGAGGAACAGAAAAAGTTGAGAAGAGAAATGGAAAGGTTAAGTTAAAGAATATCTTAATAATGTACAGCACCACACCCCAACATCCATAATTCAAAACACTGCTTGCAGCAATGATGGGAATGCAAAGCAAAAAGCTTTTATCAAAAGGCAAAAAACTTCAGAACATTTTTAGTAAATGAAAGCAGACTGATAAAATTAAATAAACTGGACTCTGGAGTTTTATTTTCTATTAACCTTCATTTTAGCTAGGCACAGACATTTGGCTGTCTATTTTTGGTACACAATGCAGCAAAAAAAAAACTAAACAAAACAGCATATGAATGTTATAATGGTGGCGAAAATGAAAGGTCGATAGCATAACTCACCCTCTTACTGTAGAAGGAGCTGTGTGTATGTGTAAGTGTGTAATCCTTACAGTTGCAGCGCTGAATATTTGTTTAGTGATTATAGTGTGTAATACTGCTGTGTTTATTAAAAACTTATTTTCATTGGACCCCAAACATCCCCCCAAAATCCATAAATATAGTTCAGTGAGTGTAGCATTTTGTAGCCAAGCTATGTGGTGGAACATGAGGCTTTTTTTATTATGTCTTCTTGACTAAGCACATGCAAGAATGCATGTTTATGTGCATGATGCAATACGGCTTCAAGCTGGCGTTGATCATCTCTCTCTCTCTTTCTTTTTCTCTCTCTCTGGAGAGTGAGTGAAGGTGTGTGTATCCAACCTTTACCCTGAAGATATCGTCCTCTGACGCCGCTGACACAGGCTCCTTTACACCTTTATCCAGCTCCTCCTCCACATTTAGGTCTCCGGAGATGGCTCTCCTAATCTCCGGACCGATGTCGTGCAATGTCCGCAGGCCCGCCTACACACAGACACAGCAGTGTTGCTTACATATCATGTTGTAACCCAATAGCAAATTTCGAATGTCAGAAATCTGCCTCTGTAATGTTTAGCTCTACTGTGGACAAAACTTGTCTGTATACCTGCAGAGAGAGTGCGGTTTTGGGGGGCACCTTGGCCACCAGCCCTTGTTCTTTCCTTTTCTTAAACTTGCGGAAATATTCCTGGATGAGGAAGGTGGCGTAGAATTTCCCGACTGTTACCTCGTCATCTGCAGAAACAAAAAAAACCCATCATTATTAAAAAAGATTAATGCTTAAAATTAACATGCTGCAAGATTTTTCAGAAACTCCACTGCAAGTGATGCAACCAAGGTTTTGACCACAGTAAGGTAACAGTAATGTCTATTGGAAACATTCACTTCTTAAATATTTGTGCATAAGAAACTGTGCTGCAGGGTGTACATACCACCAGCAGGGGGCACTACTTGATCCAAGAGCTTCATACTGGTTCTCTTCCATATCTTCTTCACTATTGCCCTCAGTTCCTCATTGGCCTGCTCCAAGTTCCCTGCACACACAAAGCACAGTATGAAGTACACATTGTAGATTCAAACTAGTATTTCCATAGTTGGAAATTACATTACAACCCCTCTATAAAATAGGTTTAAAAAAAAAAAGTGGGGCAAAATAAGAAAACATGCAATTTCACATTATGCTATCAAGTATGATGATGTGCCCACTGGTGCGTACATGTGTGACCTTTACAGTTGTGTGCTAGTGATTGCCCCCATACGTGTCTTTTACCTTCTGTCTTTATCCTGAGTGCGGTTCTGACCAGGGCAAACAGTGTGGCGTTGAACATCACTGTTCCGTCGCTGTTCAGAGGCATGTTCATCGACACCAGACGCTACGTGAGATGAAAAACACACGCACCTTTTTAACACAGTGAATTGCCCTAACAGCTGCCAACAGATACTGGCAGCTGACAGTTTGTTAAAAATACGCAGACAGCAGTTCAACTCTAAGGACGCTAATCTTTCGTTAGAGAGATTTTTTTGAGATATTTTCCCAGGTACGATTTCTTGTCAGTATGTGTTTTGAGTCATTGTGCAAGGCGTTATTAGCTGTGCATATGTCACCACTCTAATACAACACAACACGAGGATTTTTTTTAACTCATGCAGTGATGGTACTTGAGCTGTTATGTATATTTTTGATAACTCTGCAGCCTTGTTTAGGAATTTGTGTGGCCATGCAAGTGTGTTTACCTTGCAAGCCACCCTGTGTGGACAGAGCTTTCCAAACCCGAGGGGAGGCTGGATTCTTCTGAGCAGAGTCACCACATCAAGATGTTTTATTCTCCCCCTAAAAACCAGCATAGATGTTGAATTTTAGAGACGCTCTACACTAGTGATTCTCAACCACGGATAGAGAGTACTCCAGGGAGTTTTTTTGCAGTAGAAACAGGATGCACGGACAGATTATTTCAACTACTTGAACATAACTTAGGATTTAATTAAAGAAATAAATTGAGCAGTTTTGAGCAGAAAGCTTCCCTGTCTACTAAACTATAAGCAGTAAAAATACACAGCCAAAATAAATGCATGAATATATGTTTGAAACAGATGAAAAGTGGCAAATATAGCTTTGTAAACTTACTTAGCTTCTGGGTCATATTCAGCCCAGATCCTCTTGAACTCGTCAAGATGATGTGGCCCCAGGATCGACCAGTCACGCGTCAGGTAGTCAAAGTTGTCCATGATGACGGCCACAAACAAGTTGATGATCTGGGGAAAATCAGAAATCCATAAGTTTCCATCGTACCACTCTAAACAATTATAGACCTGCCAGTTCAATCACCATGTACTACATTTCTCTACAGTCTATTAAATGTAACACACAATTTCAAAGTCATCTTTCTGGCACATTTTGAAATATGTTAATTTGCTATTTGTGGTTATGACAGTCACATGAAATACTCTCCTTTTACTAATTAAAATTAGATGTGTGCCTGTACTCACCAGGAAGGCACAGAGCATGTAGAAGCTGACAAAATAAATGATGGCAAACTGGCTGCCACAGTCCTCGTTGGACGAGCTGCTTTCATTGGTTGATCCTTTCTCACACGGCTGTTTGGGTGAACACGCCAGCATGATCTCCTGCCACGCCTCACCTGTTGCACATCTGATAGACAGACGCATGCACACAACCAACCAAATATGCATGGACGCCGACGCAAATGCCGGCGTGCATGCGGTTGTGAGAAAGACACACAACAGAAACAAAGAGGCACACATACACACATATTGAAATGCATGCATGTGCGCATGTATGCATTCGCGCATAAAAGCATGGAGTGAAGCACACACATGCACATTATTACAAAGACAAAAAGAGAGAGACGCAGATGTTAGACTTTGTTCTTATTACATCTGAGCATATAAAATATGACTATGTATAAGCACTTATATATA